TGCGCCGAGATCGCCCACAACGTGTCCTCCAAGAACAGGAAGGTCATCGTGGAGAGAGCCGCCCAGCTCGCCATCAAGATCACCAACCCCAACGCCCGGCTGCGCAGCGAGGAGAACGAGTAGAGGGGGCTCTGCCCCCCGCCTGTACCTCATAAATAAACCTCCAGCGGGTCCGGGCTGGGCGCTGTGCGTGGCTGTGGGGGGCTGTGGGGGGCAGGGCCTCGCTGGCAGCAGTGCCGACGGGCTCAGGAGCACGTGCTGCTTCGCGGGTATATCTTTATTTCTGATGCCACTCAAACCATGGATGCTCTTTCACACAGCACTATAAATATTTTTCACATCAACCACTCTCAGAAAAGGAGAAGCAAAAGCATGTCGCAGCTGCAGCAGTTGTGTCATGCCTGGTTCTCCGAGGTGCTGTTACACTCTGTCTCTTAAGGCGCCTTTCCCCTGCTCAAAGCAGGATCTGAACACCACAGCACTGTGGGGGAAGTTTGGAGGTGACAGGAGTTAACAAGAGCTGCTCCCAGCTCTTCCTGCTGTGGGTGCCTGAACTGAGCACTGAACGCCAGCGTTCTGCACGCTGCTGCCCGTGCAGATCCCGGCCCGGGTCGTGCCATGTGAGCAGTGAGCCACACAGAGGGGAAAGAAACAGAGCTCGAGGCAAAGACGAGCCCGGCGCAGGGTTAATGTGCAGTCAGGTTGTTGTCCCTGCTGGAAGACTGGCTGAGGTCCTGTGTGGTCAGAGCTGTGGGCACAGGCTGAGTGAGCCTCGTAGTGTGGAGATGGGGGCTCCTCGGTGCCCCTAGGAGAGCTGGGCCCGGGCAGGGGCCTGGGGAGGGACACCCAGCTCCTGCTCCTGCTCCTGCTCCTGCTCCTGCTCCTGCAGCTGCCCCAGCCCCTCCTGGAAACGGGGCCTGTCGTCGGTGCTCGTGGCTGGTTAAAGACCTCACTTCTAGTTTTCAGCCATGTTGCTTAGTGAAACAATATAAATACATTCTTCAGGCAATTTGGGGTAGAAAGTGCATGTGCAGTGGTTAAAAAAAAAAATCTTAAACTTTCTCTTTGTACTGCTGTAAAGAAAGATTTCAGGCAGTGGTTTCCATTTTTCATGGAACCACACTCAATTTTGATTGCTCTGTACGCCCCTTAAAAACCTGTTGAAAAATTAGAATGTCTATCTTCCAACCCCTCCCCTCCATAAGACAGTTCCCTTACCCCCTCCTCTTGTGTATCACTACAATTCTGTGAGGGGTCTGAAGGGGGTGCAGCTGGAACCGGCCCGTTCCTCCTGCTGGTGCCCAGTGACTCACAAGCCGCTGCTGTGGAGACCAGCTGGGTGGCGTTTGGTGGCACCTCCACTAGGCTGAGGCACGGCCAGGGCAGGGCGGTGCCAGAGCCAACAGGCAGAGCTTAGCTCATGTCCATCGACTCCGAGGTGGGCAGGGCAGCAGAATCCTTCTGAATGCTCTCAAAAAGTGATGCCATTTCAGGGTTGGATCTGATCTGAGACGAAAACTCGGCCATGGCTGGGCTTTTCTCCACTTCAGGGATGGTCAGGAGAGCAGCCACCGCTCTCATGGCAGAGCGCTTCAGTTCATCTTGCTTCTCAAACTCCTGCTTCACAGAACCAGCTTTTACCTACAAACCCAAAGCAGCAGCTTTAGCCAGCGTTTATAAAGACAGCACAGGCACAAAGGAACAGAGACGCCGGCGGAGGGGAGCGTGGGGAGAGGCTGCTCAGCAGCAGCGAGAGGAGGAGCCGCGCAGAGGTGGCTCTGCGGCAGAACTCTGCCCTGCCT